CTGAGTGCTCATAGGATGTAACCTTGGCAATATAGTTCTATGTGACCTGCTCATAAACAAGCTCAGGAAATCTGGACTAGAGAGTACTATTATTTGATCAGTCCACAATCCTTTGATAGGTCACAAGCAATGGGTACAGAATGATTAGCATTCAAGCTGGGAAAAGGAAACAAATAATATACTCAAGGGATTTGTCCTAGTTACAGTATTGCTCAAGACTGATGTCATTAACTTGGAATAAAAGACTGGCAGGTCCCATTTGTAGCTGTCACACATCTGAAAAGAAGTGCAAATATTTTGGAGAATGGGACTGAAATGGGAAAAATGCACTTGATAAATAGGGAGAACATAAAAAAACCCACCAGATATAGCAGGAGTATTTTATCTTTGCTTTTCCTCTTGTCAGGATAATTATAGTATTCCAGAAAACTGCAGGATGGGAATGTTTGTCATCTTTGCCCTGCTCTACTAAAAGGATCTTTCATTTTAAGAAGAAATGTGATTGTAATGATCATTTTATTCTTGGTACAGTACTATGTGGGAGTATCAAATGTTTGGTTTTATGTGGTTAAAAGTGACATTTTGCCATGTTGTTGACTTCCTTTCAATCTGTTTTTAAAAGAAAACATAGGTTGGATGTCTGCATAGTGACTAGCCTCTAACCCTGTTTTATTGAGAGAAGAATGTAGTGCTCTAGCAAGCCGATTCTTGATTTCAGAATGCACCTTCTGTTCCCCATGTGTTTTCTCAGATAGAATTTCTTAATGTCTGCCTCCTCTTCCTCCAAGAAGGCAGATGAGATCTGTTTTCCTCTTGAAAGCTCTCTGAACTAAATTAAGTAGCTAGAATTATAATGCTGGAGTAACACTCAAAAGACATCTGATACCCATATTCCTAAGAAGCCTCTGCATTACACAAATGTTTTCCCCTTTGACTTGAGATCCTGTTGAATTATATAGACAACTTCATAGCCATTTACAATGTGCCCTAAAACATTTTGCATTTACACCCAACATGAATGACAAGGGTGGCACTACTTGTATCTTATCAGGACTTATTACACCATTTGTATTTTAGGAGCCTCGTGGCACAGTAGTTAAATGCTGGTCATGCAGCCACAACATTGCAAGTTTGACCTGGAGGGCACCAAGGTTGATTCAGTGTTCCATCCATTTGCAGGTCAGTAAAATGAGTACCCAGCTTGTTGGGGGCAATTAGCTTACACATTATAAATGGATAAGGAATGCTAGTTCACTGGTAAGCAGCACAGAAATGTACTTGCTATTGCTATTGCTATTATTCCTTTTTTATTATTAGATTCCCAATCAGTACTTGAGTGTTATTCAGTCATTATGCTTCCATGTTCTTAGTATATATGTTACATGTGAAGAGGAGAGTATACTGTATAGTAAATTAACCCATAGGGTAAATGACACTGAGGCTGCTGCCACAATGTAGAAATAAAGCAATTTGACATCACTTTAGCTTCCACAGTTCAATGCTATGGAAATCTCAGATTTGTAGTTTGGTGGGGCAACAAAGCTCTCTGACAGGAAAGGCTAAATATCTCATAAAATTACAAATCCCAGAATTCTATAACATTGAGCCACACAAGTTTCAATGGTGTCAAATTGCTTTATTTCTGCAGTGTGGTCACAGCCTGATTTAGTGGATCCATTCCAGATGGGATTAACTGTGGGATTCAGACCATAAGCTGCACACTCCAATGGAGCATCAAAAAGGAGAGCCTAGGTACATACACCTATACACCTATGCAGAGTTTCCACCTGATCTACAACCTGAAATTTTCAGGATTTATTGTCCACTATGGTGTCCATAGAGGAGTGGAGGGAGACTTTAACCTTTTGCCCCACCACAATACCAATCCAAATCAGCTTCCTTCCTTGTGTCTACTGTTTCCAATGGAGAAATGTTTATCTTATTTCATGCTAAATAAAAATGTAAATCTTCCATTGAGTTTGGCCCCAAGTGGCTGATACTGTCTCATGGTTTCATAACAATTTATTTATTCTTGCACACCTTGCCATAAAAAAATTTCTAAAATGAAATTCCAGGAAGATTCTGGAACTACAACCATGGGACAACATCTAAGCACAACATCTGTGGGCATTTGAATGGAAAGTACCATATTTTAAAATAGATTTTATATTTTGAACTGTTGAGGAGGAGTTGGATTATTGGTTCCCATTGCTGGATTTTGGTGAAATGGAAATTCAAAATTAATTGGACAGTGCAAAGCATCAGTCAAAACATCTGTTGGAATGTTGAGAGAATTTCACACTTCACCACATTTTGTAGGAAGACAATTGAACACTCCTTGTTTTCTAATGATAAAAATCAAAATGATCTTTGGGACTGAGCTTGGAAAGCTTACATGTTGGGTGGGAAATTCTGGATGCTGTAGCACAAAAAAGTAACCCTTTGAACCTCTCACTTAAACAGAGTGGAATCATTGATCCATCCTAGGCTTCAGGGAATATATGACTCTCCTCAGGAAAGAGCTTAAATATTTGATCCAACAACAACTTATCAAACCTTATAAGAATTCAAAGTGGTATCACTAGAAAGAAGTGAAAACTGGTTTTTATTTGGAATTGAGGGTGAAAGAATAATTGAAACAACCAAGAAAGATTGATGAAAGTTCCTTTTATCAGGCAATTTCAAAATGCATAATTTCCTTCTGCAATTGAAGGACAGCTTGATTCCATCTTTATGCAATTAACTGAATATAAAGGAAACTGAAGAAGTATTTGCTCAAATTTCTCTCAGCCAGGCCTTAGACTAAAGACCAGAGGTTCTTAGAAAACTCATCCTTCTCCTTTAAAATCCTTTTCTTTACACAGCAAAGCAGCTTCATTTATATACCGCTTCATATCACGCTATGTCTAAGCAGTTTACAACTGTAAGCTCATTGCCCCCCAACAGTTGGGTACTCATTTTAGCGACCTTGGAAGAATGCAGGCCTGAGTCTAGCCTGAGCCCTGGCTAGTATTGAACTTGCAACTTTGTGGTCTATGAGTGAGTGGCTGCAGTACAGGCATTTAACCACTTCCCTTTCTCTTCCCACATTCACTCCCAATATTTTAATTGCTTCCCTTCTACAGCTGGTACCAAAATTGTGAAAATTAATCACTTATGTTATCATCATTTTTAAACAGAAAGAGTAAAGTTACATTTATCTATAACAGCATATCAAAGCAAACTACATAGAAAAATTAGGAGCAGGGGAAGACATAACCAATACATCGTGTTTTCAGATCAGGCTGGCAGACTGGATTGACTTGTCTAGGATGTTCAATCTTTATGAAGTA